CGGCGGGTAATGAATCTCCGCTGTCTCTCGGGCTGGCCAGGCAGCTGCAACCTGCGCTCAGGCAGCTCTTAAAGACATAGCGTGCCCCTCCCTGGGGGCCGCCCCCCCTGCACCGGCCGGACCCCATTCGGCGCCCTCCAGTCCTGGCGCTCCGCCTGCTCTCTCGGCCTGACCCCTTCGCCCGTTACCCCTCCCTCCTGGGCCAGGCACCCACATCTCGGCCCTGCACTCTGTGGCCCTGGCACAGGCCCCTTGGCCTTGGCTGAGCTCTCCGAGAGTGCCCGTGGGGTCCCGGGAGTCTTTCCGGCAGCTACATCTAAACCTACTGCCTCTGGAACCCTTCTGGAAGCTCCTGCCCAGAATCTTCTAGGAAGGGTGAGGGGGAACAGTCTGGAGGTCAGAGGGTCACCCCCTTAGAAGCCTGTACTGAATACTGGGGGTGGGGGGGTGCAGTCCCAACCCCAAGGCCCAAGATGCCATCTCCAGAGACCACACCCTCACTGGGGCTCTGGAGGCTGCACCCTCCCCCACGGCCCCTGCAGGCTCCTGGATACCTCGCTGCTGCGGCAGCAGGGGTGGGGAGCACGTGGGTATGAGGGGCGTGGGATCTAGTAAGGTGGCCGTCTTTTCCTTGTCACTTGCACGGGGCAGGGGCCCTGGGGAAGATCCGATGCACCCCACCGTCACCCACCAGACCTGGCCCAGAGAAGAGACTGAGTCTTCTGGGTGAACAGGACCCAGATTCTCAGCCTGTAACCCCTAGAAGGGGAGTGTGTGGCTGTTCTACATCCTGTCTTTCATGTGCCCTAGGGTCCCCACGCGTCCCTGCCTCTGCCCTTGCACACCCTGGAATGCTCTTCTGGCCTGCCAACCTCCGGGCCGCACATGCCCAGATGAGTTGCCATTGTCAGTTTGTCTGATTCTCCTCACCAGGACAGGAAGTGGGTCCTGCCGATCTCTGTGCTCCCAGGTTTAGTACGGTGCCCTCCCCCAGTCAATCCTTACATGTCTGTGGGTGTTTGCTTGCTTGCCCTCCAACTTGAAAATGAACCAATGACTTCTTGGAGTTTCTTACAGTAGTTGACAAATACAGCTTCTGGGCTTTCTAGAGAGGGAACCCAGCCCTCCTGGGACCACTCCACTTGATAGTAGTAACTACGAGTGTCTTACATGCCCGTCACTAAGACCTTTCAAGGTAGGAGCTTAGCCTGGCCTGGTGGTACAGGCCTGTTATCCTAGAACTCTGAGAGGCTCAAGTTAGAGCCCAACATGAGCAATTTAGCAACTCAGCAGTAATACAGTCTCAAATTAAAAAAAAAAAAAAAAAATTTTAAAGGCTGAGGATGTAGCTCAGTGAGAAGGCCTTGGGTTCAGTCCTTATCACTGAAAAAGTAGTAATTTGCCAAGCATGATAACATGTTACCCAGGAGGCTGAGTCGAGAGGATCACTTGAGTCCAGGAGGGCCAGGGATTTCAGGGATTTAGCTCAGTGGTTCCGCCTCCTGCCTTGCAAGCGCAGTCTTGAGTTGGATTGCCAGTACCAAAAAAAAAAAAAAAAAATTTGAGCCCAGGAGTTTGAGGACAGCCTGGGCAACACAGTGAGACCTTGTCTCAGAAAATAAGTAAATAAAACAAAAATAGTAGCTCATTGACCCCTCACAACGACCTTTGAAGTAGGTACTCTTTTCTTTTTTTGTTTTTTGTTTTCTCTGTTTGTTTTTGATACCGTGGATTGAACTCCAGTCCTTGCACTTGCAAGGCAGGTGGCAGAACCACTGAGGCAAACCCCCAGCCCACAGGAAGTAGGTACTATTATCAGCCCCATTTTATAGATGAAGAAACAGACTAGTGGAAAGTCCCACAGCTGGCAGGTGATAAGCCAGATTTGGGGGCTTTCAATCCCACCACATACTGCAGCTTTCCATGCTGGCCTTAGCAGATACAAAAGAGGCAAACATAAGTGCACTCAAAATAGTAGGTCCCATCATGCGTCGTACACCCCTATAACCTCAGCAATCAGGAGGCTGAGGCAGGAGGATCACCTGGAGTTGAAGACCAGCCTGGACTACATAGTGAGTTCAAGGCCAGTCTGAACTACACAGCGAGACCCTGTCTAAAAAAAAAAAAAAAACAACAACAAAAAATGGGTTCCAGGAGACATCTTGTGTCCCTATAAATAATCTGTTCCCCACCCCATCCTGCCCTGTGTAAGCATGGGAGATAAAGCAGGAAAGGAGGTAGGGGTCTCCTGGCCTGTCATCTCCCTGCTGCTTGGGATGTTACCACTGTGTTGTTCAGTTGAGGGAATCAAACCGAGGGCCTGCATGCTAGGCAAGTTCAGTACCGGCCAGCTATACCCCCAGTCCAATGTCGGCACTGTTGGAAGGCCAGCCGAGGTGCACGCCTGTAATCCCAGCTAACTGGGAGGCTAAAGCAGGAGGGTCATGAGTTCAAGGTCAGTCCCAGCGGTTTAGGGAGATCCTGTAAGCCAGGTGGGGTGATGCACAACCTGGCATTCCAGCACTCCACGAGCCTGAGGCAGGAGGACTGCAAATTCAAGCCCATCTGGGCAATTAAGCAATGTAAAGAGACCTCATCGCAAATTTTTTAGAAAGACTGGGGATAACTCCACGGTAGGGCTCTTGCCTAGCTGCGCAAACCCCTGGGTTCAATCCCCAGTACCGAGGGGAAAAAAGAAAAAGCCCATCAGTTCTGGGCAGAGAACAGCCGGGCACCCTCACCTCAGGGAGTGAGGAGGCCAGAGGTCCTACCTCCAGTCGTGGAGTGTTTACGGGCTGCCAAACGTGTGCTAGTCAGGGGCTCGGCTCAGACAAGACGTCGCAGGAGGAGGCGAATCACGGAGGAGCTAGGAGAGAGAGAGGCGGGGATGCTGCGTGTCTCCCATCCAAAGCTAATGAGCAAAATAGAACTAGAACAGGGAGAGTAAGAGAAGGAAAGGGATTTGATGTGGTCGGAGGGCAGGAGGAAGAGGAAGTTTCCGAGTGAGCTGGGGTCAACCCTGCCTGGCCCCATAGGACCCGGGGAGGATTTGTGATTTTTTTTCCTAAACGCTGTGGGGATCCTGAAAGGTCTGACAAGTTCAGATTTACATTTTCAAAGGTTTGCTAGGGCTCAAGTGTGGCGCGTGGGGGAGGGGGAGGGGTCAGATGACAGGAGACCAATTAGGCTACAGCTGCCCTGCAGGTGAGAGCCCCCCCACCTGCCGCGTACAGCATCGAGTGACCTCCTGTAGCCTCTACTTGAGTGATGCCGCCCCTGCAGAAGTAGCCAGCCGGTGGACGGGCGGACGGACAGACACACAGGTGCCCAGCCAGCTCCCCGCAAAAGGAGCAGAGCCAGGGGAAGCGCTTGAGCTGAAGTCCCGGCAGCGTTCTCCCTGAGTGCAGGAAACTTCCACAAGAGGCAGCCTTGCCTAGGGCTTCCAGGACCTGTGAGTTCCGATAGGGTCTCACTATGCAGTCCAGGCTGGCCTGCCCCACCACGCCAGCTGCTGGCCTTTGTTTTTTTTCTTTTCTTTTCTTTTTTCTTTCTTGCCTTTGTTGTTTATTGCTGTTGTTTGTTTTTGTTTTTTGGTACTGGGGATTGAACTCAGGACCTTGCACTTGCCAGGCAGGCGCGGCTCCACTGAGCTAAATCACAGCCATGTTTTTTAGTGGTTTTTTTTGGGGGGGTACCGGGGACCCAACTTGGGTCCTTGCACTTGCGAGGCAGGTGGCAGAACCACTGAGCTAAACTCCTGGTCCTGTTTTTTGAGACAGAGTCTTGCTATATAGTTCAGGCTGGTCTTGAACTCACTATGTAGCCCAGGCTGGCCTTGAACTCGTGGCAATCTTCCTGCCTCAGCCTCCTGAGTGCTAGTATAACAGGCCCGTGCCACCGATCCAGCACTTATGTCTTCTGTGAAGTGGGCTTCTTCTTCCTGTCCTCGGCTCCTGTCCTCTCTTGAAGATGGTGAAAGTATTTGAAGGTGAGAATCCAAACACACTTGGCATTTGCTTGGAGTAAGGCAGGTATTGTCATGATCGTGTAATGCACACGTGTGTGCCCATGTTCACACACACACACACAGAGGCACTGTGGGGCTCCCGTGTGTCCTCAGCTCCGCTAGAGAAAATCGACTCCTTTCTCCCTTACGATACCTAGCTCTCAGAAAAAAGGGACACAGTCACCGCACTCTCCGCCATTGTGCCCTTCCTTCACCGAGAGAGAATTTGCCAAACAGCATGCCCGGCACGAAGAACATGCTCAGGAAACCTCAGTGGAATCCGTGACGAACAGATGGATGGATGTACGCATGAATATTTTATTGACAGCGATTGAAAGAATGGGTGGATGGAAGAAAAAGCACACTTCAGGACCGTGGAGTGAAAGATGAGTAAGAATGCACAAAAAGGGGGCTGAAGGTGTAGCTCAATGGTAGAGCACTTGGTAGCATGCATGAGGCCCTGGGTTCCACACACAAACTAAACCTGGTGAGGTGCACCTATAGGCCCAGCGCCAAGGGAGGCAGAGGCAAGGAGGATCGAAGCTCAAGTCTCACCTGGGCAACTTAATGAGACCCTGTCTCAGAATGAAAAACAAAAACAGCTGGGGATGTAGCTCAGTTTGAAGGCCTTGGGTTCAGTTCCCAGCACCCCAAAAGGAAAAAAAAAAAAAAAAAAGGACTGTGGACAGTGGCCATATAAATCTTTTCCTTTCTTTTTTGTTTGTTCTTTTTGTTGGTTTGAGACAGAGTCTCACTAAGCAGTTCAGTCTGGCCTTGCCTTCACTGGATAGCCCAGTCTGGCCTCCAATTTGCAGAGATCCTCCTGCCTCAGCTTCCCGAGTGCTGAGATTAGAGGTGTGCACCACCACGTATAGCTTCTCCTTTGAAAATGAACTGATAACCTGATGTGTCCAGCCTCAGAAGACACAAAGCTCGGCTGCCTATCCCCCATGTAAAGGGATCCTAGGACCCCTCCACCCTGCACAGCACATTCCACTGGATAAAAGTTGTCCTTTTCCATGGGTGGGTAACAGGGCTGAAGCCTTCCAGTCTTGGTGACTGTGGTGCCCGGTGGCCATGTTCATCCCATTGTGCTGTTCTGGGCTCTTCCCCGAGTGGATACTTTGCGTTGGCCTCACTGGTCTCTCCACCAGAATGGAAGCTCCAAGAGGGAGGACAGCAATCACTTCCTGTTCCTTACCCACCCCCGACCTAGAACATGCCTGACTGAGTCCACTGGATCGGACGAATAAGAGGATCATGGGCCAGGGATTTAGCTCAGTGGTTCTGCTGTCTGCCTCTCAAGCAAAAAATGTCCAGAGTTCAATCCCTGGTACCAAAAAAAAAAAAAAAAAAGGATCATTGCCCTCTTATGACATAGATCATTCCCATGTAATCAACAACCACGATTTTTTGTTGTTATTTTGAGACAAGGTCTCCTACGAAGTTCAGGCTGGCCTTGAACTCGAGATTCTCTTGCCTCAGCCTCCCCAGTACTGGGTTACAGGCCTACACCACCACGCCCAGCACAGCTACAGTCTACTGGGCACTGAGCTAAGTACTTGTCGTGCATTCCTACAGCCTTGAGAGAAATGTTACTGCTTTCCCCAAGTTACAGACCAGGAACCTGAGGCCCAGAGTTGGGAGGAGATGGAGAGGTAGCTCATGGGTACAGAGTTTCTTTTCAGAGCCATGGAAATAATATAAAATTGATGGCGAAGATAGGTGACAACTCTGATATGCCACAAAGCACTGAACTGAAGTTTAGCTGAGTTACATCTCATCATGGTGGTACACCTGTCATCCCAGCACTCGGGAGGCTGGGGCAGAAGGATATCAGTGAGCTCTGGATCAACCTGGGCTACACAGTAAGTTCAGTGCCAGCCTGGACTACATAGTGAGATCTTGTCTCAATACTAAAAAAGAAAAGGAAGCAAATGAAAGAGTTGGGGCTCAGGAATCTTACCTCACCTTGTCCACTTGCTTGCTAACCCTGTGAGGTCACACTTCTGATCCTGTTCCCTTTTTTGTTTGAGATGGTTTCTTACTATAGTTCATAGTTGATGTACTTCAGGCTGGCCTCGAACTCACTACGTAGCCCAGGCTGGCCTGGAACTTTTGGCAACCCTCCTGCCTCAGCCTCCTGAGTGCTGGGGTGACAGGTGTGCACCACCATATGCAGCTCTGATCCTCAGTTTCCTAATCAGTGAAATGGGAAAAATGCCATGGGGCTTCTGTGAGGATTAAATGAGATAATACATGTTAATATTCCCATTTAATCAAGAAAGTACCATCCCCGGTACCAAAAAAAAAAAAAAAAAAAAAAACCCCAGCAAAAAAAAAAAAAAAAAAAAAAAAAAAAAAAGCAAAGAAAGTAACGCACCCCAGAAAGGAGAGGTGACTTGGTGCCGGGAGGCACAGCTCATGGGTGCCAGGTGAGAGGCCTGGGCCCGGGTCTCTCACGTTTCCTTCTCTCCATGTTGTCCTGACACAATCACGGCTGTGCACCCCCCTCCCTTCACTGCCACCCTGGCTCTGGTCTCTCCCTTCTCCTGGGCTCTGGGCCCTGTGTCCACATAGCCCGAGCCCAGGGCAGACGGGGTACCACAGCACCCCAGAGCACAGGACGCCCTCTCCCCAGCCCCCTTCCGGGGCCATGATGCTGCTGCCGTCTTGCTTTTTTGCATGTAATAAAGAAAATATCTCAGCTACCCTTCCACGGTTGCTTGGCAACCTGGAGGGGGGCAGAGTGGGGGGAGCAAAGGGGAGGAGGGAAGGGGAGGACTCTGGAGCCAATCTGGAGACAAAGGGGAGGATTTGGGTGACACGGGAGCCTGTCTTAGTGCTAACCTGGCCTGGCGGGGCGGGGCGGGGCGGGGGCTTCCCCATCCCAGTGTCTCACCCCAATAAATATGGATTAGGGAAATGGGCAGAGTTTTTCCCACGGGCTTGAAAGGCCGCATCTGACCTTTCTACCCCCTTTATGTACCAACATGACAGTCAGAGAGAGCAAAGAGCGGGACCCCCTGAGACGCCTCCCCCATGGCCTTCTGACTTGGGGAAACTTTTCACCCTCCTTCCCCCAGCCCCAGACCAGGTCACAGCGCGCCCGGGCCTGTCCCAGGCTGAGGAGGAAGCGGGCTTTCAGGTGGGCATGAGGAGCTCCAGCATCAGGGTGTGACTTCGGCCGTGCCAGGCGTCCCGGGCACAGAGCCAGGCAGTGAGGCCCTGGCCCAGGCCGCAGAGGGCCCCCTGCCCCAGGAGCTGTCCTCTGCCCTCTGTCACACTCACCGCCACCGCCACCAATACCTGAAGCCTCTGCTGCTAGAGGCCCCAGATTCCCGCAGTCCTCCATCCCTTTTCTGTCTCCCAACCTCATTTTTATAGTTTTTGTCTTTTTGAGTCTCCTATGTGGGTCAGACTGGCCTTGAATTCACTGTGGCCCAGGCTGGCCTCAAACTCATGATGGTCCTCCTGCCTCAGCCTCCTTCCTGATTGCTGGGATCACAGGCGAGCACTCTTGCTCCTGGCTTCCCAACCTCACTTCTCTCTTTTCTTTCTATTTATTTATTTGTTTGTTTGTTTGGTACCGGAGATCGAACTGGGGTCGTTGCATTTGCGAGGCCGGCACTGGAAACACTGAGCTAAGTCCCGGCCCCTCACTTCTCTCTCTTCCGCCACCCTGCTCTCCACTTGGCCTTGCTTGCTCTCTCCCCTCTCCCCAGTCCCCACACAACTCAGAAGCCCTCGTGGCTGTGAGCTTCTGCAGTGAGGATGGCAGGACGGAAGGCTGGGAAGGAGGTGGGTGGGGTGCGCCCTGGCCACTGGCCCGGTCCGGTCGGGATGGGCTGCTCTGAAAGCGCTGAGTGTGGAGACAGGAAAAGTAAACACCTCCACTCAGGCCCCGCCGGCCTGTGGCGAGAGGGGAGCAGGGGCGGGGGACCTCCCAGCCCCCAACCCGTGCTCTCTGCTCTCCTGAGGGTCCCCTCGGCCTGTGTGTCCAGAGGAGAGTGGGATAGAGGGCTTGGAGACCGCCCTGGAGGGGACACCTTCCCTCCAGTCTGACCCTGCTTCTCTACCCACGCCAGCTGGAGCCTTCCCGCCCAGAGGTGCCGGGAAACCGTGGGCCTGCGGAGGGCGGTCTGGCACCTGAGGGCTGCCCGGCCACGCCTTATGCACAGCGGCAGCCAGGTGGGCGTCTCTGTGCCACCGCCTCACCCTAGCACTGCGTCCCGTCCCGTCCTGGGCTGAGGGGCCCCCCAAATCCTCTGGCCGGTGAGTGCTCCTCTGCCCCCCACCCCCAGCCAGGCCCTGAGGGACAGAAAGGCTGCCCTTGGGGGTCCCGGGCCCTCAGATTTGTGGCATTTTCTGCTTGGACGAGGTGGCTGGTGTGGTCCCTGGTGGTTTGGCGAGGGGATCTGTGGGGGCCGTTGGAGAAGCTGGAGGTGACATCTGGAGGCGAGGGGAGGCAGGCAGGTGGAGCCTGGGCTGAGGTGCCTCTGGATTCCAACCCAGCATTTTTTTTTTTTAAGGCAGGGTCTCACCATGTTGCCTGGGCAGCCTCAAACTCCTGAGTTCCAGCGATCCTCCTGCCTCAGCCTCAGGGGGAAGACACACACCACTGCACCGGGCCAAAGCTGACTTTTTGATTAGACTTTCGAATCACAGAGGCTCCTTGAATGCTCTGGAATGTAAAAAAACTTGTGGAATAAGCTCAGAGAGCGGGAGTAGCTCCTCCTCTGGGGTGAATAGCACAGCAACGGTGCTGCTGCAGGACCCAGCCAGGCCCCTCAGCACCCAGTGCTGCTTGTGCTCTTTCCCTTTCCACACCAAGTTTTGTACATTTGGATTTAGGGCACGGCCGGGGTTGGGAGGGGAGAGGGGAGTCCGGACCGCACCGCTGGCCGCCTCCCTTTCTGTCTCTATTCCAGGCGCCAGTGCCTGCAGCAGCCTCTGCCAGGCCTCAGCGTAGCCGTGGCCACTTCTCTTTTCTTTCTTTCTTTCTTTTTGTTTGTTTGTTTGTTTTGCTTCTTTAGTTTTTAGTTGGATTTTTGTTTTTGTTTATTTTTGAGACAGGGTCTCACTATGTAGTTGAGACTGACCTGGAACTCACTAGGTAGCCCAGGCTGGTCTTGAACTCACAGTGATCCTCCTGCCTCAGCCTCCCGAGTGCTGGGATGACAGGGATGCACCACCACCCTTGGCCACCTCAGTCTCTGACCTTTCCAGGAAAGTCATGCTTGGCCCTTTCATTACAGAGCCCAGAGAACAGCCCCCCGCAGCTCGTGTACATGGTGTCTAACCATAGTCCCTCCCGCTGTAACTTAAGCACAGTCAGTTCAAACAAGCAGTCTATGGCCAACTGCAGGCCACAGAGTCTGGGTGATCCCCGTAGTTGGGCGTCCTGGCTCGTCTTCCCCTCCCTGAATGATCCCCACAATGGCTGCATCGATCCACCTGGACAACCGAGACACAGAGAGCAGAAGTGACTGGACACACAGTCAGGAAGACTCAGGTGTGGCATTCAGATCCCAGCTCCCCTCTGGAGCCCCGAGCCCTGCAGGGTCTTTCTGTGCTGCCTCTGATTCCCAGGAGGTCACTGTGTCCAGGTCCCTGCATCTGGGTCCACCCAGGCCAACCACTGCTCCAGACAAGAATCAATCTAATTTTTAAGGCACCTGCTCCAGAGTGGGGTCCCCCTGGGGATAACCAGATATTTATTTATTCATAGCCTTCGGGTAGGAGGGGAGGCCTCCTGCCCACCCAGAACTCCGCCATGCCCAGCTGCCTGCTGCCCACTCGAGAGAGAAGCCGGCTGACCGTGGAGGCCCTGAGCTCCAGCCCGTGTGGCCCTGCACCAGCCGCTTGCTTCCTGGAGCCCCTGCGCATCAGGTGTGAAGCGAGGCTAACGATACACCTGCTCCGTGGGAGGGTGAGGGTAGATGATTAAAAGGGATGAAGTCTGGAAAGGGCTTTGTAAGCGCAGTGCTGGCCCCTAAGAATCGCCCCAGGATGAAGGGGTGAACACTTTCTTTCACCATCGTCGTCGTCATCATCATCATAACTTTGCTGTCTCGGTTTGTTTCCTGAGACAGGACCTCACGATGCTGCCCAGTTGCCAGTCTAGTCTCAAACTCCTGGGCTCGAGAGATCCTCCTGCTCCAGCCTCCTGAGTACTGTACCTGAGACCATAGGCATGTGCCATCCGTCTGGCCATTATCATTAATTAAATGCTTCTGCTTAGAAGATCTGCTTTTAGCCCTGGAATGTGTGTGTTTACTTACTGATTGATTTGTTTGTTTTTAAAACAGGGTCTCTCCATCTAATTCAGGCTGGTCTTGAACTTACTATGTATACCAGGCCGTCCTCCAACTCTCAGTGATACTCCTGCCTCCGCCTCCTGAGTTCTGGAATTACACACTTGTGCGTTGTACTTTAGCCTCCTTAATAGAGAAAGGGCTATCCCAGCACTTGGGAGGCTGAAGCAAGAGGATTACTGCAAGTTCAAGACCAGCCTGAACTGCAGAGTGAGACCCTGTCTAAACAAACAAACAAACAAAAACAGATGGAGAAATTGAGGCTCAGAGTGGAGAAAGATAGGCTCTAGGTCATGTAGGGACGGGGAAGCAGGTCTCAGACCCTAGTTCCCAGTTGGATACCTGTCCGTCTCTCCCCCTGCCCACCTTAGGTCCTGCCCAGTGTGCCCAGAGGCCGCGTCTGGCAGTTGGTCCGGCCTGGGTGAAACCAGGAGAGCAGTGAGCAGCGAATGGTAGAATTGCCAGGGCCCAGCACTGTCTTCTCAGCCCAGCCCTTTGTCTGCTGCTTTGTGATGGTAAGTGTTACTCCTAAATCAGTTCTGTGACACTGTTATTGTTGCCCAGGGCGCAGAGAGTCTAAACTTTTCCCCTGAGGTCAAGAATGTGGCCGGTCCCCAAGCCGCCCAGCGCAGGGCCTGGGTGGCTGGGGGTGGGGCTGGGGCCTCACCCCGAGCTGGGGCGCGAGGTGGGGGAGAGCGGGTCAGCGGGAACAAAACGCTTTGAAATGCCTCCTC